CCCCGCCCCGCTCCCAGCCCCGGGCTCCCAGGCCCGCCCTGAATTCCGTCAGGTTAATTAAAAAATCAATCTCCCTTCCCCGGCGAGATGGACCTCGAGGTGTCTTCCTGGGGAGCTGCCGGAGGGAGGGGGCGGGGCGGAGTCCCCGAGAGGGACCTTTTGTGAGCCGGAGGCTCAGTATATTTTTACAAAGTCTTCCCTGCTTTCAGTAAGTTTCCTTTTTATGTAAATGCCAGTCTCTGAACAGACTGCACTGAGTTTTTGGAGTAACTCTTCAGTCCACTTCTACTTTGTGATCTTTATTTTTTTTAAGCATTTTTATTGACGTGTAGTTGGCAGACAATATAATTAATATTGGTCTCAGATGTACAGCGTTGTGACTGGACAGATGTCTGCACCTCCCCGTGTGCTCAGCGCCCTAAGGTTAGTCACCATGTGCCACTTGCAGAGTTGGCACTGCTGGCTGTCCTCCTGACCTTTCCCCCCGGCGTCCGTCCTTCCACACCCCTGGGCGCCGGCAGCCAGGGCTCTGTTCTTCATTTCTGTGAGCCTGTTTTCGTTCTGTTTTGTTTGTTCATTTGTTTTCATTTTTTTTAATCTCACATATAAATGAAATTATGTGATACTTATTTCACTTAGCATAATAACCCTCTAGGTCGGCGATTTTCAACGGGGGTGCTGAAAGAACTTTAAAACACGCACTACCTGACTATTTAGGCAAGGGCACTGACCTCTTTTCCCTTAGGTGGTCAGATAAAAAAATGACAGCAGCCAACGCAACAGTCGTCGTCCAGTGTGAATGAATAAAAATCATACCTGTTTTTTGTCAGGTGTGCAGCAGAACTTTCATAATTTGTTTGTGTGCGCCGTGAGATGAAAAAGGTTGAAAATCGCTGTTCTAGGCTCATCCATGTTGTCGCAAATGGCAAGATTTCATTCTTTTTTATTGCTGAGTAACATTCCATTGTATGTACTTTATGAACTTTAATAGTCAGTTTTCTGCAGGATGCTATTTTGGCTGCGTAATGGGTAACAGAACTTTCTCATGAACTGTTTTGCTCAACATCTGGCTTTTCTGGAGACAATTTCAGGAGCGTTAGGGTGTGAAAGAATATCGATGTGGCCTTATCGCATGATATTCGGCACCAGAAAAACTGAGTTGAGGTATTAGAAAGAGAGAAGAAAAAATAGCATGGATCCAGAATCCAAAAAGGTGTATACCTCACGGTCTTTCAAGAAGTGGGGACTCCTTCACTCCTGGGTGGTATTTCCCACTGTTTCACCAAAAAAGGAACCTTTTTTTTTTTTTTTTTTTTACTTAACTCATTCTGTTCATGTTTTACAGAACCCCAATGTAAGCAGAATTCATTAACCAAAAAGTCAGGGGAGGAGGAGGTCAAATGCACTAATTTAAACAACAGCAACAAACAAACAGGGACACAGACAGTGTGGTGATTGCAGGGGTGGGGGGGTGGACTGAGGTGAAGGAGTGTATGGGGGATAAATGGTGCCGGACTGAGACTTGACTTGGGATGGGGAACACACAAGACAGTGTACAGATGATGTGTTGTAGAATTGTGCACCTGAAACCCGCATAATTTTGTTAACCAGTGTCACCCCAATAAAGTCAATAAAAAGGAAAACAGAAAAAAGCCTCTCCTAAGGACTCTTTAAGTGGACTCAGCTGCTCTCACCTGGTAACTACTGCATTCTCTGAAACTTTCTGCTCTGTGGCTATGACAAGTTACACCAGCCCAGCTCAGCTCAAGTGTCACTATGTGGCTCTAGAAGGGACAGTGGGAACGCCTTTACTATACAACAATGGGCCTGGGGTAGGGGAGCAAAGAGAAGGGGCAGATGGCCAACTTAAATGGGCAGCTTTGCATTCCAGGGAATTTACGGGCTTCTTCCGGGGCTAAATAAGATGCACCACAGTGGCTTCTCTGCAGGCGCCCTGCACATTCCACAGCGAGGGCCAGCCTGTCTTAACATTTTCCTTTATACTTTTTTCCCCACTTGATACTCTAACTTGAATTTCTTTTCTGGAAACAATCACCTGGCAAGGATTAGCCCTAGATGTCACTAGGGAGTCACTAGACACAGCTGGAGTCTTACGCTGGTAGAAATGTGTCTTTTAAATGGAGTGTCCTGAAATGATTCATGGGGAATTCAGTGAACTATTTGTGGTAGAAGCCTTTGTTGCATAGCTGTTGGTCAAGGCAGTGCTTTTTCAAAGTGGTGGAAATTACAACTGGAATTTAGGACAATACAAGATCTCTCATGTATAAAATGGAAATACATATGTATGTATCACATAGATACACACACATAGCTGTTTAAGACAGCTGCATAAGAAAGGTGCAGTTTTAATGTCAAACGTGAGTGCATTTCTCTCTCTAATGTAATAATAAAATATTTCTCTTATTCTCCTGCAACTCCTCTATTTTAAATTGTGTGCTTGAAGCAGGAAGTAGTCCGGGAAGATTGTAACTATTGTCCAGTGGTTGGTTCACAGGAAGCTGTGAAGGGAAGAATTCACTGCTGTAAGCATTTAAGTATAACAATTGTAGCAACAGCAACAAATGTCTATACTTGACTTCATTGGCATTTCATAATATGTGCATTTAAGTTCCCAAATTCTACCCTCAGAGATAAGGGCTAACAATTGTGTCTTCTAGTCCTCTTGATGGCAAATGGTCTGGGCCGAGCCTGCAGCAGGAGACTGACTCTCCAGCTGGTCCTCACATCAGCTAACAGTGATATGTTCTAATGTTGGAGGAAAACATAGCTTTGTTCGACTTACTTAGAGTGTATGGTGGTCTCCCACATAGAGCCATCAGAGGGGAATGTGAGCATCAGTGTTGACTCTATGACTCCTATTATACATGCATAGAATGTGTTTCCACCTGGGGACAGATGATGTTCTGAGTGCTTCTAAAAGGAATTTAGTTCCAGCAGGACATGCTTGTGTGTATTTTCAGAAACACCACTGGTATGAGGGCTCAATGAGTCCTGGAAGAGGCAATTGTCGACTTATATGAGGAGCCAAAGGCTCATCTCTCCATTTCTTGAGTGTGGGGAAGAGATTTTCTAGATCACTCTCCCCATAAAGCATAGGAGTACTTCTGTGATTATACAGGTCAACGAATATTCTCATGACTGTTTTTGACTTAGAATTCCAGTTTCTAACTCGACATAAGAAACATCCAAACCTGTAGAGAATTTTTATAAGAGTTATTTGAGCCAAACTGACAATATATGCCGGGGAGTAAGATCTCAGATGCTTTGAGATGAACTATTTTGCAGCTTCCTTTATGCATTTGAAATTAAGGAAGATTACATGGAGGTGGGGAAAAGTCAGGTGTGATTGGGTGACAGGATAGTTAACAAGATTATGTGTTCTCTGGAGGGTGGTAACTTCAAAGGTGAGTTAACCTAGATGAACAGGAACAATGGGCAGGGATTGCTTAAGGCAGAGATAAGCCTTTTAGTAAAGAAGTTATATGCCTGGGGTGTGACTACCCACCTTGACCTGCCAGATTAGGAATTTATCCTGTGAGTTTACTTTCCATAGAACCCCTTTTTTTTTGTCCCCACAATTTATCCCAAAGATGCATTGGAAAGAAAATATGGAAAGATGTATGCACAAGGCTATTAGTTGGAGCACTATTTGTTTACTAGAAACAATTAAAATGCTAGTCAAAAGGAGGCCATCAAATATGGTTACACCTGCACAATGGAATGTTACACAGTTGTAAAAAGACGGAAGAGTAGTATCTCTGTATATGCCTGTGAGCTCTCTAAGACCCATTGTTAATGACTTAAATTTTAAGACATGATCACTAAAACAAATGAAATGAAAAATTGAACCTAACTATGTATCGATGGTACATATATCAAGTGACTTTAAAACATGGGACTTGAGTATAGATCCCAAGTGGGATATATGCTTTCAAAGAAAGGGCAAAAAAGAAAAAATAATCTTCAGCTGTTTTCAGTAATTATACTGTAACTATCATTATTCTGAGACAGTTATATATGTTTTATGGGGTGAAACAAGTAATTTTTGTTGTTGGGAACCAGGATTTGGGGTATGAAAGGACATACAGATGTAAGGTAGACAAGATCAAATATAACTCCTATAGTCCTGAGCTAGAATTTGTGTTGGAAACCTTAGAATAACTCGTAATGCTTTATCTACATCTATCTATCATCCATCTATCTCTAAACTCCTAGTTTTGTTCTGTGAAGAGGCCTAGAAATAAGGAACCCATTAGGAATGGGCATTCTTAACACAGAGATTAAGATCTCCTTAGAACAAAGGTTTTTAATAGAAATACCTAGATCCAGGTCTGCTCAAGAAATGCTCAAGATGAACCTTAAGCGTCTGGTCATACCTGAAAACAAAAACACTGTTGGCATCTACTGATTGTGCCAAAAGGAGTCAGAAACCCACTTGCAGAGGCTTCCATTTGCCTATCAGTGAAAATAGTAACTGCAGCCTTAGCCGGTTTCGCTCAGTGGTTAGAGCATCGGCCCGCTTGGGTTCGATTCTGGCCAAGCGCACATACCTCGGTTGCAGGCTAGATCCCTGGCCCTGGTAGGGAAGCAACCAACTGATGTGTCTCTCTCACATCAATGTTTCTCTCTCTCCCTCCCTTCCACTCTCTGAAAAGCAATGGAAAAAATATTCTCAGGTGAGGGTTAAAAAAAAAAGAAAATAGTAACTGCAGTAAATTGAAGCTCATCAACTATATTTAAATCTGTGAGTTTATAATGAGTATCAAAAGAGAAGTTCCCTGGGAAGTGATGTCAGTGTCAGTGTGGTGACAAATCTCAGGGCAGGTAAGGAACAGCCCAGGTAGTTAAGGACAACAGTGTAAGTGTATCAGTGACGGCCACCAGGCAGCAGAGCAGGGGTCCAGGATCAGCACTGGTGCAGCAGCAGCTGGCATGGGGACGCCTCCAGGAGAGTGGGCATGCCATGCTGGGACCTGGCCAGCGCAGGAGGCTAAGAAAGTCATTGTGGGGAAGGACTGATGGAGATGGAAAACCACAGGTGGCTCTCACCATTACGTTCACCTCCACGTTATTTTGTTCTTGATGCTGTGACCTGGGAAATTATACTTATGAGCATTAACATAAAGGCAATTGGAGTCAGTTATCATGAGAATCTCAATATTATTGTAGAAAAATCTAAACACAGAACTGTGTTATTAAAATCATTTGGTTTTATTAGAAACCAAAAAGAATTTCTGCTCTCTTATTTCAGGTAGAAAATTTGCCTGAAGACTAGGCTCCTCTGCAACCATCTTGCTGGGATTCCTTTTTGAGAAGGGGTTTTCCCTTTCCATTCAAACTCTCCACAGTCCACCAATAATTCCTCTTCACTTCTGCTCCTCAAGAGCTATGAGAGTGACTCA